ACAGCTCAAACATGAGAGGTTGAGCTTTATTAGCACCACCTTGCGGAAATTCCGGATACTATTATTTTGCTAGCGGTATTTACCGGTAACTCGCGGTATTTACCGGTAACTCGCGGTAGACTGCGTACAGCGTACCGGAAAATAATGCAGTATCGCTCGCGCATTTTGAATTTCTGCATCTGTACTACAATGAATGTTTTAACAAACTTTAAGATGTAGCTGAATTTCATTTCATTTCAGTGTCTCAACTTTTCGACCCATTACTGCAGCCAATTCATGTCTTGCCCTTCGAAGGTGACATGGCAAACAAATACAACATTTCCCACATATTGAAAAAAAGCTGTAAACTTTTCTTCTGCTTTTGGTACACCTAAGGATACACCTAAACTAATGATAGGATCAACAAAGCCAAAAAAGCCAAAACAACTTACACCACTTACTGTACATTAGTCACCTCAGACAATTTAAGACTGTAAGTTCTTACAAACTAACCAAGACAGTTAATGTAAACATAATGATTGTGCCACATGCAGTATAACTCAACACAATGCTTGGCTTACAATGATATTTTACTACCACCAGTGCTCTGTGTCCAAATTAACATTTATAGAACCAAGAAATAGGTTTATTCCATACTAAAAAGAGAAGAAAGAAAACACGTTTCAGCTGTAGAGCCTTCTTCGGGTGTAAGCTTTTTTTAGATTTATAGAACCATACTTGCCAGCCAATGAAAACTGCCTCAATATGCAAATCTTTACTAATTTGCTGCCCTGTCACAAGGGGAATGCCAAATCATCTCTCAGCAGCCTGCACAGAGACTTTAAAGATCAAGGCACCAAGAAAGTTAAGAAGTTATGTGTAGATGCTTAGAATACATTGTATCATTCAACTTACAGTATATTGCTTCCTCTCCTTACAATACTTAATATGCTTTAATAAACTAATTAAATCCTAAATCAAAATACTAATATATGTGTATTTTCTTGTTCTTGAGGAAACACACTTGTACTTAATGCAAAGCCATTCGCAACATCTCTGTTTAAGATTGTCGCCTATCAACAGTGCTTGATCTGTAAATTATGAGGTGCCAGAGCTCAATGTGGACAGGAGGAAGTGCGTATATGAAAAGCAACAGAAGTACCAGAGCACTTAATGTAGGCATGCGTGTAATACATCAGCATAATGCCACAACTGCCCATAACATGCCAACAAAAACTTTAAAAAAAGAATTGAATGAACAAGCATTCTAGGGATGTCAAGTATGAGCCAACACTAACCATTAAATTATGTGACGTTCTAGGTCATATCATTTTTTGCAATTATTATGCAACAATTATACATGCGTTATCCTTGAATTACAAGTTGTCGCTTTTTCAGTAATAAGTGTGTTGGAGAGTAGAAAAGAAGAAGCAAGACAGCAGGCCTGAAAGCTCTCGGGACTCTACTGTTCTGTGCGTAACAGGTGTGTGGTCATCACTGGGAAGAGTTGAAAGAAAGAAAGAGCATAGCATTGACAGGTGGCCCTTGTAGTAAAAGACAGGCAGTAGTAAAAGTCTACTCCTTTTAGGTTTAGGTTAATTAAAAAGAATGTTGCTAACTGACCGTGCAATTGGTACTGAATTTTCCCATGCAATCATCGGCACTCTCACTCGTACTATGCACTGAAATACGGCACCTGTGTTATATCACAGTAGTTCGAGTTGTATGATTTAACTAATAGTCCAGTATTATTCCACATTCCTGAATACCTACAGCAACTACTTGCTCCCACCAACAGTAATTGTAATGTCCTGCACCTGCCCACATAATGTTCTGTGCACACAACAACTGTCTACTGTCCTGCAGGTACCCAATTTTGCTGCAGGGTTCTCTTGGGGAGTACCTGCTCCAGATTTACAAAGCTGCTTCTTCTAGACCCTTGTCTTGTGAGATATGTTCACCACATATAAAAAACTATGCAATCACATAACAGCCAACTTGGGTTTCCTGAATACCAATAACATCAAAGCATGTCAAAGTACTGTAAGACATATATCACTTTGACACAAACATTATTATATAATGAGTAATTTGCATTACATGCTGAATTTCCATAATTATGTCCCATACTGTGCTTTTTCTTTCCAGAAAGATCTGCAAGGCAGATAACTACCTGTTTCTCCTGTAGAGCTGCATAATTGTGCTCCATCTTCATTAGCATAGTTTTCCTCCAGTCTGACAGGCAGACCTGCAATCTAGACCTTGCCAGAGCCCTTGGAAGAACCAAGCACTTGTCCATCCTTGAAAGACAATACTGAAACTCCAGCTTCATCTTCAATAAATCATCATCAGACATTGTAAGCTGAGCTCTGCAGAGGTTTCTGTCAAACACAAGAACAACTTTTAAAACCTGTACAGTAACATTGAGAAAACCTGTTCTGTAGCACTTTAGCAACTCTTATAGATGGCTTGTAGACTAAGGCACCTCACTACAAATGAACTTGTTTGATGTTGGTATGATAATGAAATGAAGCCATTTAATGCATAAAGAAAATTACACTAAGAAAAAGCTTGTAGAATTGATTTTCCAGTTATATTAATTTCTATTGTAATTCTATCGTAACTGATTCACAACTTCAAATGTGTACCTGCAGAATCTAAAATGACCAGTTCCCCAGTACACTTCCAAAATATAATAATGTGCAATAGCTTTTCTACAAAATCACATTTTCCTATTGCACTTGTAGTTGGTTATTATATATCTTTGTCTTTTCTGAAACCTTATGTTGCAATGTCTTTGTTGAAGACTACTGTACAGTTTTATACATCTAAAATGAAACAGAAACACAGTGTTGTGCTATTTTTACGCAATGAAACAGCAAAACAAATAAAACAACACTTGCAGAACCAAGGCAGAGTATTGACAATAAACAAATTAGGCAATATTCAGTGAAAGTTAAAGAAGACCTGTTTCAATTTAAAATCTTTTAAAAGCCAATCTATAGACACTTAAATACAGGGGCACTGCGTTTAATGTGCTTTTACATCATTTACACTTAACATTGCTGTTTTACACTGCCCATTAAGGACTTTAAACGGGGATCCCACATCTTGTGATGTATTAAATATAAAGACTATTAACTGCACTATTAAAAATATTGAAGTTATTGAAATGTGTATTGTATGAGACTTAAAAAATTACTGTGACATTCTTATATATCTGGATTCAAGTTACAACAGCAATGCTTCTTGTGTTGTGATTTAAGGTTTTCCGTGTATAAGACTTACTAAAATTTTTAATGTAAACAAAGACTCATTACACTATGAAGATCTATCACTCATTTCCAAATGCCAGTTATTAGCATGCCCCAGTGAAGAAAGTACAGAAGCTAGAACATTTAGATAGTGAATTTGGGTAATAACGATCAGCTTTCTCCTTTATAGACTGCAGCAGTTTCCTCACAAGGTCCACCTTTTATTACAAGGTATATCCAACAGTAAATTCCACAATGACAGACTAAAAATTGACTTTTGGATTGCTTAGGTTGGATTGTTTCCAACAAAAAGTACTTAAAATGAAGAGAGGAAAGAACATTATAATTAAACAGTTATTTTTTTTCAGGAGAAGATATTTTCTTACTGAAACACTGCCCTCCCTCTCTGGCGCAAGGTCTGTTGTTCCTGAAGCTCCAGCCTCAGTTGCTCTTGGAGTGTATCCCTGCTCCTCTGGAGTGTTTTTACAGCGATTTTCCCTTCTTTGTGGAGCCTCTCCTGGGCTTCGGAGAGAGCGCTGGACACCAGCTCATGTGTCAGCCCAGAGTGCAGCAGGGCGTATCTTGGAGCTCCTAAGTCCATCAAGTGTTGGGCAATATTGGGCTGGATGGCCTTGATGTCACTCATTGCACTTTGGATAAGACGTATGGTAACTTTCCGGATGTCAGCAGCTGCCTCCTCATCCAGGTTATTAATGAGGTCCCCAAGCTCTAAACACTGAGATGTCAGGAGGTTTTGCCAACAGCTCAGGTAATCAGCAAGATCCAGACTTTCTTCTGAAGTTCTGGAAAAGGCAGACAGATCTTTGTGTTCTTCTTTATGCTTCTGAAGCTGGAACAGAAATGTTATTATTATTAGCACACTGAAATGATTTTCCTCTGCAAATTTTTTAATGATATGGCATCAGTAAGAGGGTGAGTTTTGTGAATCAAAACCAAGCTACTTCAGACAAGAGGTCAAAACCACTTTGAAAAACACGGAAATGGAAAGTTTAGTCTTTGATGAAACAGAGAATTAGGTATTGAGAGATAATGGAGATTAAATGAGTCACCCAGAAAGTAAATTGCAGCTGTGATAAAAAATAACTTTCTAAAAATTTCACAAAACAATAACTTACTGTAGTACTGATATGTAATATTTTGCCATTTGGAACATTATATATAGAGCTTCTAAGCTTTTTTATGCAGGGCCTTGATTGGTTATTCTAAATATACTAAGGATAAGGACTGCAGATCATGAGTGAGAGCACCAGATGACCATATTTAAGATAAGATAAGACTTTATTGATCCTGTAGGGAAATTGAGGAGACAACAATACTGGGAACCTCTATGGCTACTCCCCTTTCTGCTTCTCAATATACAGTAATACGTGTTTTTTAATCTAATTGTAATAGACTAGAATAATAGTGTCTTTAAACCTACCCCTTGCAGGCGGAATAATTGAAGCCAACCCTTGACATCTAGCACTTTAACACTTTCAGTGCTAACAGAGCAGAATCCAGCAGTGATGTCAAGACAAATCTTGAAAAAAAGTATTTAATTACATTGCCGTGGAGTATCATCTTGCAAGACTAAAACTGTTTACCTGCTATTTGTAATGTTGCATTTTACTGACACAGAAAAATCACCTTTGCCTTAATTTGCAGGACAACTAATCTAATTTTTTGCAGAATTTCAAAGAAAGAATTATAGAAGACGTTTTTTCTTCAAAGTACTGTACAGTTACACATGATCAACAAACAACCCTATGATGTCTAAGTTTATGCATAATTCAACAAAGAAAAATACATTAGTAATGAAAAAGAAACTTAAATACCTTAGAACTATCACTCTGCAATGTTACTGAACTCCTGTAATATTATTTCTTCTGATATGTTGTTGCTGATGCCTTTTTGTACTTTTCAATTGAAAATACATTGGACCATGACTGTTATTTCTTTAAAATACTATTGAATTTTAAATAGTGTTTTAGTTTCTTAAATTTTGTTAACATAGGGCAGAGTGGTGGCACAGTGGTTAGCACTGATGCCTCACAGAGCTGAGGCTCTGGGTTCATTTCCTGGGTTACTATCTGTGTGGAGTTTGTATGTTCTCCCTGTGTTTGTGTGGGTTTCCTTTGGTGCTTTGTTTCCTCCCACAGTCCAAAGACATGTTCCTAGGTCAATTTGCTTTAGAGAAAACTGTCCCTGGTGTGAGCATGTGTGTGTTTGTGTCTGTAGGTCCTCCGATAGACTGGTACAGTATATCCTGCATTACGCCTGTTGCTTGCCAGGATAGGTTCCAGATCCCCCTTAACCCCTAATAAGGTGCTCTGCAAACATTTTTAGACCCTTGCACAGTTTTTACATTTTATGTAGACACTTTAAGTCATTACAAGAAATGTATATTTTCTATATATACAACTTACTCCACACATGGAGTGAGTCATGGATACATAAGTATGCAAAACCTAAAATTATTTTAACATGCCTAAGTAGTTTCAATCTGTGTGAAATAATGGTTTGCATGATTACAGAATAAACACACATGTATTTGTCTGGTAGTGAAGCTCAGTGAAAGATTTAACCATAAACAACTTTCAAAACAACTCAGATAATATCAATATCTCGCTGGGCTTGTGCAAGTTGATCACTAAGAAGTGGAAGGTTCCCAGACACTGCCTAGATCAGACTGTCCCTCTGAACTGAGCAGACACGTAAGGAGGAATCTGGTTAGTGATGCCCTGCAAGGCCAACAGCAACTCTGAAAGAGTTACAGAGATCAATGACCAAGATGGGAGGAAGTGTTCATGGGTCAACAATACCCCAGTTACTCCACAAAGGGGGCTTGTATGGAAACAAACGTGGCAAAATGATTTGCAATCAGTTAAGATAAAATTGGAACTTTCTGGTCTTGCATGACGTTATATCTGACACAAACCCAACATAGTGCATCACTTGGTCAATACTATCACTACTGGGAAGGACAGCCGTGGCAACATTATCCTTCTCATCAGCAGGGATTGGGCAACTTGTGAAAACGTATGCTAACATACATGGAGTAAAGCACTGGCAGCTGTTAGAGGAAAACCTGCCACAGACCTAAAACTGGGATAACAATTCACCTTTCAACAGAACGATCACCAAAGCGATACTGGAGTGCCTTAAGAATAAGAATGTGGAAGTCCTTGAATGGCTCCGTCAAACTCCTGGCTTGAGTCCTACAGATCAGATGTCTGCAACCTACAACATGTGTGCCATTATTGGTACGCAAAGGGATTTTTAATGGCATGTACAATTCAAGTCTAAGCTATGATGTAAACAAAATAAAAAACTCTTAAAAACTATGCTTCTGTAATTCTTTAATTCTCTACAACATGCTACCCAATGAAAGCTCTTTGGCGTAGAAAAAGATGGTTCACTTTGTAACTGTATTGTTCTTAGCAGAGGTACAAGTAATAGGTTTATTTCACGCTGAAAAGAGAAGAAAGAAAACACAACGTTACAGCTGTGGAGCCTTCTTCGGGTGTAAGAAAGTTAGGGCAGTCAGTGATGCATTCTGACGCAGCTACCCACCTGAACTAACTTATTCTTAGCAGGGCTAGCCTATTGTTTTCACAGTTAAGTTTGCAATCCATGCTGCTGATAATAATAATTGCTAACACTTATGTAGCGCTTTTCTGGACACTCCACTCAAAGCGCTTTACAGGCAATGGGGACTCCCCTCCACCACCACCAATGTGCAGCATCCATTTAGTTGATGCGACAGCAGCTATAGTGCACCAAAACGCTCACCACACTATCAATGGGGAGGAGAGGAGAGTAAAGAAGCCAATTCATAGATGGGTATTATTAGGAGGCCATGATTGGTAAGGGCCAATGGGAAATTTGGCCAGGACACTGGGGTTACACCCATACTCTTTTCGAGAAACACACCAGGATTTTTAATGACCACAGAGAGTCATCCAAAGGACGGCGCCTTTTTACAGTATAGTGTCCCTGTCACTATACTGGGGCATTAGAACCCACATGGACCGCAGAGTGAGCGCCCCCTTCTGGCCCCACTAACACCTCTTCAAGCAGCAACCTTAGTTTTTCCAGGAGGTCTCCCACCAAGCTACTAACCAGGCTCACACCTGCTTAGTTTCAGTGGGTTGCCAGTTGTGAGTTGCAGAGTGATATGGCCATAATGTAATAACATTTTTCACACTTAAATGTAAAGTTAAACATTGCAAAGTGATTAAACAATTGCCTTGATGCAATCAAGATCTTTCTATCAGAAAAACTACCCTGAACTGCACATTAAGAAATGGGTTAAAAAACTAATCTTTCTAGCTGACACCACCACACACAAACACAACACAACCTCCATCTGCAGGGTACCGATCAAACTGTTATAGGTGTTATCAAAACAACTCAGATAATATCAATATCTCGCTGGGCTTGTGCAAGTTGATCACTAAGAAGCGGAAGGTTCCCAGACACTGCCTAGATCAGACTGTCCCTCTGAACTGAGCAGACACGTAAGGAGGAATCTGGTTAGTGATGCCCTGCAAGGCCAACAGCAACTCTGAAAGAGTTACAGAGATCAATGACCAAGATGGGAGGAAGTGTTCATGGGTCAACAATACCCCAGTTACTCCACAAAGGAGGCTTGTATGGAAATGAAAAAAAAAATCTCAGATCCTGCATGGGGTTTACAACAAAGTACCTAAGTGATGTAACAAACGTGGCAAAATGATTTGCAATCAGGTAAGATAAAATTGGAACTTTCTGGTCTTGCATGACGTTATATCTGACACCACCGCACACAAACACAACACAACCTCCATCTGCAGGGTACCAAACTGTTATAGGTGTTATCAAGATGCGGAAGGCATTACATGCAAACATTGCCATTTTTTCTCGAGACATTAACAGCTCAACTTTCCACTATTTCCAACATTTTAAAGAACTTTCAAAACTCTGCACACTCTGTATTTCTGAGTTTGGAGTGTACACATGAGAAATGACATCAGAATTGTCTGTCAGATTTCAGGATTCCTAACACTTTGGGATATCTTTTCTTTTCTGATTAAACCAGACAGCTTTCATACCAGAGAAAGATTTTTTGGTGTTTCAGCGAGCGGGTGTGGAGGATTTTGAAACGCATCAGAGTAAACTTAGCTCAAATATCAATATACTCTTGATTTTTACATTTTTGGAAGTTCAATTGTCCTAACGAAACCACCAAGAGATGTCAAACTTGCATTTTGCTCAGGGTGTTTTTTTTCACAACTTTCACTTTGTCATCTACAGTAAACTTATTTATTTCATAGACATCATGCTTCAGCTGACAATAACTTTGTAAAACAAAATAGAGTTTTTAAACCACCAATGTTTAAAGATTACAATTAGGGTTTTTTAACATTTGGATTAAGATAGGTGAATAGGTATTTTCACACATGAAGCCAGTTCTTTGTCCCTCCCATGGCCAGTTAACAACTGAACTCTCAAAGGCTTGCATGTTGCATAAAGTGTCAAGCTACGAGCCTGAGAACGGCAAGCTCAGCAAAGGAAACCAAGAGCAAGGATCGCACTAAATAGTAATATGTGCCTATAAATTTATTACATTTAGATAGTATTATATTTTATTATTTATATATGTATTAAACATGTAGAGCTATTACTGACATTGAAAAAGTATTAGTGGCACACAAAACAAGTGGATGATCTAACTCTTGGAATGAATCTGTGGAAAGACTTGAAAACTGCTATTGCAATTAGCAATCCCCAATAATCCCCAAGAGTGAGCAAATATTATATTAAACCAATGTGCAAAGATGATACTTATGACTGTAACAGCCTCCAAAGGTACCTTCACTAAATACTGAGTTCACTAGTCTCAATACTTATGCAATCTACATACTGTATTTCAGTTTATTTTATTTAGTTTTAGAAGTATTCGAAGTTTTAGCATTCACAATTTGAATAAACTATTAAGTCTAAAAAATATTAATGCCACAAAATGGCACAGCATACAGTAGGAAGGATTTGAATACTCTTGCAAGGCAGTGTATTACTGCAAAGAAATCTTCAACTATTCTACTCAAACCCTTGGGGGCCAGAAAAGACTGCAAACCATAAGAGAAGATAAGAAATGTATGGGTATGGATTAAAGATTGATTATCAGCAAGTGCACAAAAACCTGAAATATTAAAAAAAACATACCCAGAATCTAACAATTATTTTTTAACCACTCAGCAAAATTGTACACAACAAAGGCAACAGGACGAATCAAAACAGCAAGTGATATCTATGCCTAACATTGAGCAGACAGATATGTCCCTGTTTCCTAATCTGAGGTTAACACATCTCAATATAAATTCATGTGTATGCTGATTTTACCCACAGATAAGATTTTACAATAGAAGAACAGCTGGCACTGTGTGGGTTATCAATCAGAAAATGCAAAAAAAAAATGTTGTTTCCTCTGACATCAAAAGAGACCACAGTGCTGCCTGGGGAACAGACCCATACTGCTTTGACAGGAGGGAGATGAGGGAAACCTGGCATGGAAGAGAAGCGCCATACACAGACAAGGGGGGAGGGAAAGAAATTAGCACAGAGGGTAAAGGCGGAAATAAAAGACTGGTCACGTGCTTTGTTAAACTCGAATTAAAATCACCCAGGGGAAATCAGTGCATTGGCATCAGAAAAAAATACTTAGTCACATAAAGCCTTAAGGTTTGCCTGATAGGATTAATTTAATGACAGGCAAAGAGATGCTACATTGCCTTAAGAAACTTGCATTCCATGAAGAAAAATGCAGTGCAACAGCCTTTAATTTAATGTTAATTGAATTGTGATTTCAATAGTGAAAAATAAAAATACAGAACAGCTGCTTAGAAATCTGAAAAAAAGACATCTTGATAAATAATTATAAACACTGTACCATCAAGGGGCAGTGGATTATAGCTAATATGTCAGACTGCCTGTATAAATACTGTTATGCACTGTTGTTTTCTATTACTGTTTTCGGGCTTGACTTGGACGTGAAAAATCAGATGAAGGAAAGCTTAAAATTAATTAATTAAATTCTTCTCGTTACCAAAAAGTAAATTGAAAAAAATAAACAAAGCACGATAATGTGGGCATTTCGTTTCTGGCCACATGCAATCCTATCATCAAGAGAGGGTGGAGGATTGTGGGATCTGGCCTTGGCTACCCTCAAGCATGTTTTGCTAATGCAAGATTTGCAGCACATTTCCAAATGCCTTCAGTATTGCACCAACCCAGCAACCTGCTCTTCTGCTAATTCTGAGCATTCGATAGCTTCCAAAGGTGCCCGAGATTTCCCTTCAGTTTGGTCCCAACCACATATCCTCAAAAGGTGGCTTCTGGCTCTTTCTCTACAGTACTGTATGTAAGTATATGCGAGATGAGAGATGTGACTCACAAAATGACTAGTACACGTATGTTCTTTCCAGAAAACCCTATAATCAGAAACAAATGGACCAAACAAAGGTTATAGCAAAAAAAATTTTTTTTTTTCCTCTGTAAAGTATAGCACCCTCCTAAATCTCATTTAGGGCATCTCATCTGCCTTATTGAAGTCAAAGCCATTACCTGCTCTCTTTTCTCTACCCACACTTTGTGTAGTATATAACTATGACAAGACCTACAGCCACAGCAAGGCTGGACCCGTCAGACAGAGACAGAGCACTTCCTTTCCTTCAAAAAAAAGTGAAAATGGACTGTGCCATGAGACATCACATTAAAATAAAGTCACATAAAAAGATCACCAAAGCTCCACAGAGGTGCATGAAGCATCAAGGTTTATTTGCTGTGAAATCCAGTGGGCACCATCATCATTTTTATAACATGTGCCCGCTGGCATAACTTAAAAACATCCTTGTCAAAATGAACCCAAGAGTCTGCAGCCTTTGATCACCATTCCTAGCCATAAGCCCCCACCCACATGCATATACCAGAATTCAACTGGACTATTTCAACTGTTTTAAGTCAATGAAAGCATCTCATTACTATTTTTTCAATGTACTATGTTTTGAAAAAAATGTTAGAAATACTCTAAAAATCAAAATTGTTTTATATCAATCAAAACAATATCAATGACTGCATTTATTGTGACTTTTATCTTTGCATAACGCAATAATGAAAAAAATGAAACAATATGGTTTTCTTTACATTTCCTCTACATTTGCAAGCAGTTCACAATTCACCTGTTACAGTCTACAACATATTTGGAAAAAAAATGTGTTTCAGAGATCTTATTTTTAATAAAATCTTTCAAATACCCTCTGAGTACATCAAAATGCATGGATAAGAAAATATTTCATGTTTTGAGTCCATACTGCAGTTTTTAAAAGGTATCTTATCTTTATTGCTATTATTTAGCTTTCTTCTCCTTGTGACACTTCTCAATGTCACTTGTGATGATATCATTCCTTGGTCGCAGACTTTACAAAAACCACAGCGAGCGTACACCAGCTTAAGGAGAATTATGTATGAGTTAATATCTGTTTACTCCTTATCTCACTAAACATAAACCAAAAGGTGACATTCATACAGATCTTAAATCTGAAATATAGATTTCATCACAGCCAGTTTAGTAGGAAACCTAGGCAGTGAAAATATAATGCCAAAGAAGCATTTTAGGTCTTTAACTTGTCTTGTCAATGACATCTAAAGGATTTCTTTCTAAACGTGTTTTACTCTTAAAACACTCTCCACTATTTTAAGAACAATTAAATATCAGGTAAGCAAAACCAATAATGAATACAAAGTATAAGACATAGTGTGTTTAGACTTTTACAAGACTTTTGATAAATTCTCAAATTACAGGGAGTAGACATTCAATGTTAAGTTTGTGTTTGGATTGAGAATTTCTTAATAAACAGAAAACAGAGAAACCACAGAGATAAGGGGTGGGTCCCACAGGGATCTGCACTATAAAAAATGCTAATACTGTATATACCAATGTTTTAGGTTCTGGTATGGTTAGTAAACTAGTCAAGTTGACAGACGATAGCAAAATAAAACGATTAGGAAATATTGCTGAAGTAACCAAAGATTTTTTTTTTAAATCAAGAATGGGCAGATGATGTTTAGATGTTTAATGTACTACAATCTGGTATCAAAAGCAAGCTAGAAATTCAAAATGGAAAATGCCAAACATGAACTTGAACTTGAGGCTACTTATGAAAAAGACTGGAGGTGTTCTTGTACATCTTTACATTTTCTACAGAAAGATGGGAGAAGCAATCAAAACTCAAAAAACAAAATTTCATATATAAGGATATATAGTTAAAAGTATAGAATCAAGGGAAGTTATGTTAAAATTGTACAATACACTAGGTATATTTCATTTAGAATACAGTGCAACATTTTATAAAAATATTTTTTGGAAATTTAGACCAGAGAAGAAACACCAGATACATTCCAAGGCTTAAAACAAAGTCTTGCACTAACAGCCAAAAAGAGCTGAATATTTTTATTTTTGAGCAGGGAAAATTAGGAGGGGACCTGATCCAAATATTCAAAGTCCTCAATCTACAATGAAATGTGAACCAGTGGACACAACTGTAAACTATGTAGGTGTTTATTTATATTTAAGAACAGGAGGCACTTTGCAAGGAAAAGTATGGAGTATAGAACAAACTATCCAGCCATTTTTCACTGCTCATTCTATAGAAATCTGCTGATATTATACTTATCATTTATATTGAACTTGCAATCACAAATACAAATTATTTTACTGTAAAACAACATCCACAGTTTTGTTGTACCAATACGTTTGGAGAGTATTGTCTATTAGCATATCAACACTGAAAAATTAAGAAATTAAATCTAGTTACTTTATCAGAAATAAGGCTTCTTCTCTTCTTGATGAGACTGCAGTGTAAGGCATTCTTCTCCCGGTTCAACCCTTCATCCAGATTTTGTTTCACATGAAGCAGCTCTTTTTTGGCTTTGTCTAAAAGCAAGTTCGCCTGTTCCTCAGTCACGTACCTTTCACTGTAAAAACAAAGGAAAAACATTATTTTCAGCAATACTATGCACTCTCAGCCATGTTAAAACAAACAGAGGACACAAGGACAAAAAAGGAATGTAAATTTCCACAATGTCTTTCATTATTACTGTATAAGCCAGCAGCCATATCACCCTGCAACTCACAACTGACAGCCCACTGAAGCTCAGCAGGTGTGAGCCTGGTCAGTACCTGGATGGGAGACCTCCTGGGAAAAACTAAGGTTACTGCTGTAAGAGGTGCTAGTGGGGCCAGCAGGGGGTGCTCACCCTGCGGTCTATGTGGGTCCTAATGCCCCAGTATAGTGATTGGGACACTATACTGTAAAAAGGTGCCGTCCTTCAGATGAGACGCAAAATTGAGGTCCTGACTCTCTGTGGTCATTAAAAAATGCCAGGATTAGGGACGTAATTATTGTGGGTTAATGATTGTGAATGAGTAGAAACAGAAACACACTATATAAGACCACATTTAGACCACAGAAGGCAGGAGAGAGGAGAAGAAGGAAAGGAGAGAAAGAGGATCAGATCACAAGAGAGGAGTTGGAACTTGAAGCTTGGTCAGGCTGAGAGCCCCTACTTCATGATCATCCAGATAAAACATGACTGTAGCTAAGTATATGAACCTTGACAGAGAGCTTGCTACTCTGTGTTTTAGTGAATTTGGATTTCCTGGGTAAAAGATATCTCAGTTAGAAACATCTTTCCTGCTGCTGGGTGTATTTTTAAAATAGAGAGATTCCATTTATTTTGTGGGGTGCAGAGACAGAGATTTAACTGCAGGTTGTATTACGTTTATTGAGAAGGCAGCTTATCTCTTATTTGGCCTCAGTATGCATTAAGAGTTTAATACTTAATAGAAATCTGGGGGCTTTCTGGGTGATAAGGATGTTAGGCCTATAAAAGGTCTTGTTTGTACAGTACATAGTGTAAACATAGTAACCTGTGTGTTGTATGTAGTGTACTTTGTGGTACTGTCATTGTTAATAAACTTACTCTTTTCACCAAAGCTGTGCCAGAGAATAAAGAGTTCACATGCCTCTAATTATACCAACTGCTTGGGTATATTCTGGAGAAATCACTTACAAGTTGGGGGTTATTAATAATTATTAACTAAACTGCTCTTTCAATTCCTGATTTTCACCATTTTAATAACCCTTCACTTGTAACAATATTTTTCCATGGAGGTACTTATTACAAAATACATGGTTTACAAGTAAAACTAATGAAACAATATTAAAATACAGCACAAGCAATACAGTAGATTCATGTAGGAAGCATTTAAAATCATGTTGAATACAGTTTTTGTTATATCCATTTGTTCTTAGAATTTATTTAAGAACAATAGCTCTTTTGTACAGCCTCATTATTTACAGTAATTTAATAAGTCAATTTACTGGATTTTTACCATGTAACTCACTATATGCAAGTTTCTGTCTGGTGTTATTTTCCTGGGACATGAAACCGAGATAGCTTTATCAAGAAAATGTTTGCAAGAGCTTTAGAATTTGCTTAATTCTAAAGCATAATTCAGAGAATGTTTTAAGAACTTTTTTATAGAGAGTATCAGATAAGGTGCATTGTATGCTGATACTAAATTGAGGACACTATAATGTATAAACTGTAGAAGAAATCATGTACTTTTATCCAAGCTGGCTAAGACTTTCAATAAATACAAAATGAAATGGGATACGACAGACAGAAAAAAATGATATTTTACAGTACTGCTGCTCTATGACAGCTTATGATAAAGAAGTACGGGGGGAAAAAAATGTGCTGAAACCCATTCAATGCATCGTGGAAGACTGTCAGACTCATTCATCCATTCACATAAAAAACACTTTAAACTGTCTCTGAGAATTTAAGGCACAAAAAAAGTCAGATATCATTCTCCAGAAAATGTAAAAAATGGAAGAAAGTGGTTTGATAATGTTATTGTCAGTCACTAGTCAGAGGAATACAATAATCTCAGCACTTTTATCCAATCAATGCCAAGATACCAGAAACTAATGTACCCAGGGATATTAATCATATCTTATCATCTGTGTGAAAAGAACTGGGTCTCTTTTAATATATGGTAATGTACATGCAGCCTGACATTAATGAAAAACAACATCTAGATCACAAATTACACTAATATAAAATACAGTAACTAAAGTCTTTTCAGATGAGGAATACAGACTTCCTGGATGGTGCACAGAAATCGTAAATTGTTGGAAAGATAATAACATGATTATTCAGGGAGTGGTAATGACAACTAGTTTATTGAGACACCAAGATGAGTGGAGACTGGAGACTTTACTCCTCACTGCAGACTTCCCTCTTGGCTAATAGTCTTTTCTTTGTTTAATTAAAATAGCAACAAATGCATAGGTGCCTACAGTGACAAACAGGTTTGTACACTGGGAATGCTTACTGCACAGGGACTGTGCTTTTTGCATTGAAGTGTTTAATGGTGTTGCAGGGACAAGTCTTTAATTGTAACCAAAAAAGTGAAACAAATGGCAACGTTACAAATTACAAAATGGCGACAACTATGTTCACTATGTGTCAGAACCTAAAACACAAAAACTGCATTTGGAACATCAGTGTTTCAAAACTGTCTAAAAATGTCTGAAAATTGACTGTAAAGCCAATCAGAACTTTTATTGCTGAGAAATATTCTGATATCATAAGAACATACTGTACAGGTATCATGAATGTTACAACCAAGATTAGCTCATTTCACTTATCAAGCTTGTTTGGTTGGTGACAGCTAATTCCTATCCAGTCATTTCTTGAAAGATGACAGGGTATACACTTAATTTACTTTCTTGTGTTATTACTGAGCAATAATAAACGTTATTATAGTACAATAGTGCTGAAGTTCTAAATAAAATAGTAATACAAAACTCAGGTAAAAATTAAGGAACTGGTGCCCTACTAAAAAGGAAGAAATACTAACTCTAACACAGGTGAAGCTATAATATTATAACAGTGCCTTACTGTAGTTTACTTGTTTTCAAATACAGTAACTTGAACTTTAGGGGGGAAGCCCCTAAAATAACTTTAACTTTCCAGTACTTGTTTTCATTTAAAAACTGCCAATTATTTCAGAAATACTTCTAGTAATCATTAACAGTTATAACATAAATATAACAATGGAAATGTTT